GCGTACTAAAGTTGTACTACAAAGTCGCCAGTTCTCAGCTCCCAGCTCCACAGATTGCTCCGCGTACTAAAGTTGTACTAGAAAGTCGCCAGTTCTCAGCTTCCAGCTCCCCAGCTACTCTGCGTACTAAAGTTGTACTACAAAGTCGCCAGTTCTTAGCTTCCAGCTCCACAGATTGCTTTCGCGCGCTCGACACGCACGATCTCCGCAGAGGGTTGCGCGCACAGCCGGCAAATCGCACTCTCGCCTGTATTTCGCGCACTCGACACGCACGATCTCCGCAGAGGGTTGCGCGCACAGCCGGCAAATCGCACTCTCGCCTGCATTTCGCGCACTCGACACGCACGATCTCCGCAGAGGGTTGCGCGCGCAGCCGGCAAATCGCACTCTCGCCTGCATTTCGCGCACTCGACACGCACAATCTCCGCAGAGGGTTGCGCGCGGACCGGACAAATCGCACTCTCGCCTGCATTTCGCGCACTCGACACGCACGATCTCCGCAGAGGGTTGCGCGCACACCCGGCAAATCGCACTCTCGCCTGCATTTCGCGCACTCGACACGCACGATCTCCGCAGAGGGTTGCGCGCGGACCGGACAAATCGCACTCTCGCCTGCATTTCGCGCACTCGACACGCACGATCTCCGCAGAGGGTTGCACTTTGGGTTGACGCTGTTCGTCCCGCACTCCGCCTTTAAGAGAGAATTTATAAAGTGGGGAAATGTTTTTTCATTAGGATATCTCCCGTGCTAGTTTTCCATACTCACACTTGCCTGCTCATTGCATGCTTGCATACTCACCCTTGCATATCATTGCATACTCACCCTTGCATATCATGCTTGCATACTTACACTTGCACACCCTTGCATATCATTGCATACTCACCCTTGCACTTGGATGCTTTCGCTCTTCCAGTGTGTGTGTAAGTGTGGAAGTGTCAGTGTGTAAGTGTAAGTGTCGAAGTGTCAGTGTTCAAGGGATTTTCCGGAAGAACCCTTCGCAATGCTTTCGGGAAAAAACATGTAAGAAATTTGTATTCGCATGTCCGTTTTTCTGGAAGCATGCTCAATCCCCTGTAGGTGTTTTTTTACACAACCTCATGTGACCTCCTTCATTCGCGAGGTATGAGGGTGGCTACCGCTGCTGCGAGCACGGCGTTTTCCTGACCGAGGGCCCTCATCCGGCTGGGCCCCTGCAGCAGAGCCTGGGCAAAAGAAAGCGATGCGCGCGGTGTCGCTGATAGAGAGAAATCGGGTCCATTTTGCATATTGTTGCATCATTTGTCCATATTTTTCCGATATTCATTCAACAAACATCAACAAATCAACAAACCACATGTGACATGTGATTCGAGAAGGATTTTTCAGTTGATCCTTTCACCATTCACGTGAATTGTGTTTTTTCTTTAGAAGAACTCATTTCTCAACTGTTGCAAGGCAAATTGTCTCAACTGCTTCAAGGTGGTGAATCGGAAAGCCTGTTTCTTTGTATGTTTTTTTTTCTGCACTGCAGTAGAACATTCGGCCGCCCCCCCTGGCCTCCGGTCCTCTTACCTTTTCATCTTCCATCAACTTAACTCGTTCACCTTCCTCCTCTCCTCGACTCGAGGATCGAAGCGAAATTCACCTTCGAGTTCTACGAGCCGGACGCACCGGAGGTGACGAATCGAGTCGAGTCGAAACCCGAGGATTCCTGGGCCGAATTTCATGGGCTACTGAAGAACTGAAGAACCATTGAAGAACCATGGTTTTACGAAAGATTTTACATTCCAAAACCAGGTCAACCACTTTTTTCATGGTCTTGGAAGTCTAGGGTACAAGTCATTGAGCAACTCCAGTCTGTGCATGTATCGGGTTAAACCAATCTACATGCGGCCCGCTCATCGTGTATACAGCGGAGTGTTCGTCACATAGCTTTTGGGTCCAAATCCCGGCACCTTCAAACCACATGGACGACCAGGAATGTCAAGGTACCATGCTGTCTTTTTTGCCGAGCCACGCTGTGAGTTCAAACCCTTGGTCGACGCCCCCGACTCCAACGACGAATGGACCGACGTATCTTCTAAATTTGCTCCTTGTGGGACACCCTTGGTGGAAGACCCTCTTCCTTCGGCTGCCAGGTGAAAACAGCTCGGCCCACCATGCAGCCCTCTTGCTGCGATGCCACTGGAGGGTATCTCTCCAACAGCTCCTACTTCGTGGCTTGACGTGGACAGCTGGATGTGGGTGGTGGGAACCACCAGCGCCGAGGGCAGCGGGCAGCGGGCAGTCCACCGGACTGCTGCTGTGTAACAGATGCTATGAACCTGTTGCCTTAAGCAGACATCCTCAGACACTCTCATTTTCTCTCGAGCTCGAGCTCGAGCATGGAGCATATCTTGTGTGTTTTGTTTTTTTGTTGGTGTTTTTGATCACTGCCATCATGCCATATCATGCCCATCATCCATCCAATCAGAGTCGACTTCGCCTTGACTTCGGGTCTCAGACCAACATCCTGCAACGTCCCGGCGATATTTAGCCTTCGCCTTCACAGAAGGCTCCATGAAATGGCGAAGCTGTAGAACTGCAACAATAAACTATATAGTTACTATAGATGATTAGGCTATAACATACTATATGACCTTATATACCAGTCAGTTATATAACAGTTGGATTGTTTAGTTTTGGGATCCACTTTTTGGGGGTTTTACCGTCTTGGTCTTCATTTTCTTTGTGACCATATGGTATGCCGGGCGCTCCCTCGCGCGGCACAGCCTCGCGCTCGCGCTCGTGGACGGACGCGCGGCTGTGAGGCCAACTTGGAGTATGACATTCCCCAGTGCAGTCGCTCGCCACGCAGCACGTGTCGGCTGTGTCAGCGTGGGGTGAAACGCACACCGAGCCTGGGACGGCGGGTATCAGCTGTGAAAAGCACTGTTGGAGCGACCGGGTATCATGTGGTGCGAAGGAATTTGAAGGATCTTAAGGAATATGATGAATATGACGGAAAAGATGAAGCGAAAATGGTTTATACGCTATACGTCGTGATTTGAGGATTTTAGCGGGTGCAACTGTGCGGCCCTCCGGAAGATTGGAGTTCCGATTTGGGAGATAGGAGTTGTTCTGGATATGGGACCACCCTTCTTCCCACGGTTAGTTGGGTAGCTGGACTTCTAGCATTTTGCGTGGACACTCCATGTTATGTAAAGTATGCCGATCCATTGACCCCCCCAAACCACTTTGGGGTGAGGCAAATAACATGGCACACATGGAGTGTTTGGCTTTGTGAACGATTTTCCTGACACGGATCCAGGTCCCGGTACTCCGCCTGAGCAGTGTGAGCACGTGATCTCCAGCGTGGAATACTTCGACGTGCCCAGCTCCAACAGCAGCGACCCCAACGAGGAGTTTCTCTGGCAAAAGAAGATGCAGGGGATGGGGGGGTGTGGGGGTGAAACATGGTGAAACTTCTTGGAAAAAGGATGGAAAAAGGAATCGATCTACCAGCTAGTCATGTTTTCTCCGAGGTCCCGGTTCCGACCGGTGCCCGTTCGGAAGGTCTACTTGTTCGGAAGGTCTGCCGGTGAAGGATAGGGGCTGTACGAGCATCCACCATCATCCACCTCTCTACGGAGTTTGATGGGACGAAGCAAGCCACTCCATGTGACTCTATGTGAGGTTCGATGTTTAATCATCTTATACCTGAAGAGGATCTTTGACGTTCTATGTTCGTTCTATGTTCTATGTTCGTTCTATGTTCTATGTTCGTTCTAATGTTCGTTCTATATATGTTCTATATGGATCTGATTACACCATTGCGCGTCTGGAATTTCCCCTACGGCAATTTTTTGTTAGACAAGTTCACACAGAGAACGGAGCAGTGACTCGGGTCCTTCCTTGGAGTACATGACCCAGACCCAACGGACCCACCATGGGGGTCGGTTCGGTGGTCCAAAGAAATCAGAAAAGAGTTGTGGTGGAAGAGGACCCTACATTTGACCCTGAAACCATCTGAAAACGCCCCATGATGTGGCTTCATATGCTGCATTATGCTGCACTTGGAGTTTTTGGGAAGGGTTATAAGGATTCACTCTATGCTCCAGGAGTTACACCCCAAAGATCAGCATCGATCCAATAGGACTTCCAGAATACACGTTGATGCCCATGTGAAGTCCAACGCCTGCCACCGCGTGAAGTCCAATGCGCGCGCCCGCTGTACCGAGGTTTGAATTGGTCCACGCCTGGGGGCATCAACACGTGGGTGGAAATGGCTTGGCTCCTGGGCAGACCAGGGGTTGCTGTGATAGTTCTCTTCACTGATTACATCAGCTCCAGTGGCTGTGTCAAAGCTATGAGTACCAGCTGAGCATTGAGTCGAGTGTGGATCATTGTCCCAGGTCAGAAGTCATGTATGCTGCCCTGTTGTCATATGTTCTCATACCAATTCGCCACCGTGTTCCGATGTTATCGGACCCAACAGGATGCGGGATGTTTTTGTAGATCTGAACTTTGCGGCAAAACAGAACAGATCAACACTTCCGGAACGGAGATGGATGACGGATTCCAGCTGGATTCAAGCTGGATTCCCCTTAAAGGTTTTTACTTTATGACTTTGGCTTGACTGCATGTTGGTGGAGCGCCCTTTCATCCCGTCGCGGCGATCGACCGGGGTTTCACGGTAGACAACCATGTGTCCGCCGGTGTGTGTCCAATGGCGTGGCCCGGTTCACTTCAGCGCCCTCGTCGTCGCTGTTTTGGGTTTCTCGACATGGAAGGGTTCACTTCAACCAGCCACCGGGTTTTCCCTCACTTCCAGACCCTGAAGGGTGTCCCCGCGGTGCCAAACTTGGCGGGGTGGCCTCCAGCACAGCGAAAGCCCCGCCGATTCGTGTTCGAAAGGTGAGGACCCTTTTTCCGGAGAAATGGTGGGTTCGGCATGGTTTCGATCCCCAAGGAACTTTACAAGGATTCCACCGGAGAACTCTTGTGCCGGAGCCATCCGACGCTTGGGCAGCGGCTTTTTTCGGATGGGCTTCGGGCGTCGTGTGGGTCATAAGGGAGTGAGCCAGGTTTGTATGAGTGAAGTTCTAACTTGGAGACTTGATCCGCGGGGCTTTTTGATTTGGAACATCCACTTGGATGGGAGCATGGTGTGGCGTTGGAATCGGTGTGGTTCTTTTCCAGATGCTTTTTTTTTGTTTTCTTTTTTAAATGCTGTTTTTGATATGTTTTCCTTCACTGGGCTTGACTTGTTTCTCAGTTATCCGCTACCCAAACATAGCCAAACCAGGAAGGGCTGAGCCAGGCGGGTTCAGAATTCCTTCGGATTTGGACCACTGCCGCCTCCCATCATACAGTCTCAATCCGCAAGATGGAGCTGCGAAGATGAAGAATAGGCCCTAGTTCACCTTTGAAGATAGAGATGATTTTGCGGATCCGGGTGATTGAGATTCATCCCGGATTGGAGATTTTCTCCAACAAACATCAACCCACTATCCTTGTCTGGGGAAGGTATGTCTATTTGTGTATGTCTATTTGCGCTATGTGTGTCCCAACTCTTGCTGGTCCCAACTTCCGAAACGTGGCGCCAGCGTCCTGACGAGCCGTTTCTTGAGCTCGAGACGAGCGGACGGATCCACCGACCAGCGCGTCCCATCGGATCCGCTGGTCGTCGGTGGAGTGTTTGGGTGACGTCGGTCAGCCTAAGCGGCCTAGCAGTCAGACTCCATATTGATGGTTAATCCCTGAAACAGCCTGGGTGGTGACCTGGGATTGTTTGAATATTTGGGGTCCACATAATATGTGTTGACACGTGCACGTAGGTTTTTTGGGAAGCGTATGGAGTGTAATTGAAGTGGTCGTAATGAGTTGTGCTTGTTGTTTTTTGACTTGTTTTTTGTTGCTTTTGCCTTTTGCTCTTCTTTTCCTTTGTTGTTCTTGTTGTTCTTGCTGCTGTTGCTGTTTGCTGGTTGCTGGTTGCTGGTTGCTGGTTGCTGCTGCTGCTGCTGCTGCTGCTGGTGGTGGTGGTGGCGTTGTTCGAAGGGATATGAATATGTAACCAATATAGACACACCCCCTTTTTGACATGAGATTTCAACATTGCTGTACTGGTTGAATGATGAGTTTGGATGTTACTTTCATCTACGTATGAAGACAACTTGGACCGGAGACTGTGGGCATCATCGGCGACATTCCGCGGGACACCTGAGTTCTTCGACGTCGTTGATGGAACGAGGAAATATGGCACTGGAGAGCAAGCAGGAGATGAGAAGGGCTTCGTCGTTGGCTTCTTGGACGTCAGTGGGTGCCCAAAAAGCAAAATTGTAGGTGATAGCTGAGCCCTGCAACTGTTGAACAATACACAGTGTTAACACACACATTTTGCCTTTTGCGAGCTTGACTTTTGATCTATATATATATATATCTAAAAATGTTTCAACCGGGGCTAGCCCAAAAGGCACCATCTCTTGAAATGCGTTTGCGCCGAAAAAACTCCTTAAAGGAGATCCTAGCCTACGAGGCAGAAAAGACCAACACCTCCTGATTGGGGTCTCCACATGTTTATCAGTAGTGGGAAGAGCAACTGAAGGAACACCATCTTCCAAGGCACATCATTAGATAAACTGTAATTAGGCAATGTCAGCTAAATTAGCCACAGTGTTATTTGGGGACCGTGTTTGGTAGAAGTTCTTCTTCCACAAGTGTGTGTGTGTGTGTGTGTGTTTCCAATTTTTGTTTGGCAAACCCAATACCTAAGCTGTTCCTGCAGCTCTACTGCCCTGTAAAGTGCCGCCCTTTCGCCCTTCGTTTGATACGTCACCGAGGTATCCCGCCCTGCGTTTGGGGCCCTCCGCCGCTGCCAGCGCCACCGCGCTTCCGCCGCCACGACCACGTGCGCACGGTGGCCAGGTACAACGACACTTGGAGCGACGGACGTGACACGGACCGATGTGACAAGCCACGCGCCACACGTGGGACCTCGTCCAGGTCGGCCACGTGCACGAGACGGGCGGGACTGGCGGTCCTGACTGCCCGGGGATCAGGGGGGGTTCATATAGGGCCGGCGTGTTGATCCCTTTCCAGTCCTGTCGTGCCGTATTGTTCCATCGGTCGAGGTGTTGGGCAAAAAAGAGAAACGATACAAACCGTGTTCTGTTTTAAAATGTTGTTTTTGGAGACCATCGACAGTTTTGGATCACATCCATACGTTTCATTGTCGTTTCTATATTTCGAATTATTGTTTTTGTCTACGGGGGGAGGTGTCAGAAGATTGGACAAAAAAATCCCTTGGCCCATCCGGTTTCGCCAGCAAAGCGGAGCTGTAGCAGATGTAGCTGCTATCTGTCGGAGAAGTGTAGCTTTCTGTCTAAAAAATGATTCCTCATCGGGTAAAGAGTTACGAACATGTGACGAATTCAGACGTCTGGGGGATTGGTAGCAAATGTGTTTTAGCCTGACAGAATTTACAGGTTCATTTCTGCGAGCAATGGAGGCAGATGTGTCTAGCAATTTTGGCCCACTTTTTTGGACTACGAGGGAGATGTCACTTTTCATAAGAACTGATCAATTTACATGTATCCCCTTCCGACCTGGAACATATTCCCAGACACTCCATGGGACTGCCATATATGCCTACATTGGCCCCCCAAACCACCACCCCTGGCCTGATCGGTAAATATACCATACATGGAGTGTCGGGGATCGGTATGATCTCCTGTCATGGTGATGCTGATTCACTTCCATCACGGACATGGATAGAGGGCACGGACGGACATGTTGATGAAAAACAAAGTAAGCGACCCAGGGATTCACTACTTCCAAAAAGAGGTTAAATAACCGACCTGAACAAGGACCCAGGCTGGGGTACCCAACTGGGATAGTCGAACTATATAGAGTCCTGAAAAGCACAACATAAACAACAACAACAACAACACCACAACTGTTTGTTGTTGTTGTTGTTGTTGTTGTTGTTTTCTCAATGCACCACATGCTTTGCCCAGCTCACTGAGTCGACTGAGCGTCACCACGGAGTGATGTCTTTGTGGCTCTTGACGGCTGCGCCAGTGAATTCGCCAAGCACCAGGGCAGAGGTTTTAATCTGAACGGGCAATTGGACAGAATCAATGCATTTGAAAAACATAAATAGATCAATAGATAATAGATATATATATATATATGGAGTCCGGCCAAAAGTCTATAATCAAAAAATTAGACAACGAAAGTAATTTATGATTTTATTGTTTAATTAGATTATATAATGGGCCTCTAGCTAAATACACCTACTCTGTAGTTGGGCGTTAGGTTTGCGATAGATTTGCGTTAGTATTTGACTTAGGACATGTTTAGAATGTCGTTAGGTTTTGAAAAGTGGCTGGTTAAAAAATGCGTTAGTCGTACGTTAGCATTGCATTAGATTCGCGCTAGCAAAAATTGCTAGATTTTAGCATGGACTTTTTGAAAGCTGACTTGTAATACGTCTTTCGTTGCAAACATTGCTTGAAAAAGCATAGAGATGAGATAGCAATGGAACTTCTTTAGAGAAGAAATGAAAGCGGTGTAGATGTGTTTTTAAGTCTTCGTTTAGAAGCGGGCTCTTAGCAGAATATGGTGATATAGCAAGGCAGCACTAGATTGGTGCTAGGTTTCTTCATAACAGGATAGCAAGCAGGAAAAAAAATAAACAAGTAGAGAGCAGGAAACATGAGAAACAAGACAAGAAAAAAAGAAAAGCCAAGAAGAAGAATATTAATGCATAATAAGAAGAAGATAAGCAAACAGGAAAAATAAGAATCTGACAGGATAAAGAAATCGACGGAGATTTTTGCGCTAGGCTGGCGCTAGATCCGCATTAGCACCGCGCTAGACGACGGTCCATTTCTTGACCACTTGCCCATCTAACATCTAAATCTTTTGAGTCAGCTCTTACGTCCTTCTTAATTATGTCGTTCTGAAGATTTCTGAGAACAAAAAGTGGAAACAACTGCAGGAGTCCAGCAGCAGCAACAGCTCCAGCATCTCAGCAGTCCGCGCTAGACACCTCTCACAATTTTTGCAGTTCACGCGCCTTCATGTTTAACATCCCTGTGGCTTGAGTGTGGTTGAAGTTTAAAGTAGATTTAGAAGCGGGCCCCCATGGAATTGCGACGAGTGCACCATTTTGGGAAAAGACATTTTGGAAACCAACCATATATGGTTGAATATATCGAATTTATATTGTAGCAATAAAATATATGATAAGTTTTTTGTATATTTAATTTATGAATATAATATATATTTTTTTTTTTAATGTTTAAAAAATTGATAAATTATATATTATTTGAAATTATTATGTATTTTATATATTAAATTTGATATAATATATTTATATTATCGATTTTAAAACGATATATTTAATGAAATTAAAATATATTTATTTGGAAATATGATTTGAATATTTTTTTTAGATTATTGGAATTTGGGGTGATGTTGGAAATATTTGTATTTATATTGATATAATTATAGTTAAATTGAATAAATATATAATGAAAAAAAAATATATATTTTTTTTAGATATAATATTATATATGTAGGATAATTATTGAAAAAAATATATAATATAAATTGAAAGATTGAAGAATATAATTAATAAAATTACGAAAATGAAATTGAACGAATATACGATTAGATTGAGGAAATATGGCATTGATTAATCGTTACGTATTGGTTTAATATAATCCTTGGGCCGGTGGTTATTTATGAGCGGTGGATTTTAAATTATATTAAATTTGATGATTATATTATTGTGACGCTTGATTAGGACACTTAGCAGCTTTTAGGGTTAGACCGGGGCTAGGATTGTTGCTTCTTGGAATGAATCCTATTGAGGTGTACGGGCTTTTAATATGGTTAATGGTAATTACCAATGCTTTGAGATTAGTTGCAATTGCCGAGGCAAGTCGAGCGAATTCGCCGAGGGAGGAATTGGAGTAATTGTTTCGGTTGCTGGAGGAGTCGGGGCAATAATTGCCCTAGCCGCGATCGCTAATTCCGCCTAGAATCCGGGACCAAGGAAATTAGGGTGGTTGCGGAGATAGATTATGGTTTTGCTTTTGGATAGAAAATGGATGGGGTAGTAACAGCCGTTGTTATTGGTATAAAGTATATGCATGTCTTCCCGGCCGGGGGATAATTATTCGTGATGGGTATTAATGAGGTTGGAGTATGATCCTTTAACAATAAGCCCTCCGGATGCGCTCTCTGAGAGGAGGATTAGCCTTCTCGGGACTCCCGAAAGGGCTCTAGCGGATGCCGCTGCATCTTGTATTGAATTTGATTTGGGGTGGACCATTGTGGGGCCCCGAACGGCGAAATGGTGTTTGCATTATATGGCCATTGAAGGCCTTGGATTTGAGGGGCACCATGAGCGATTTAGAACATTGTGCAAATTGGAAAGCTCCACTTGGGGAGTTGTCGAACATTTTCAGTTGAGCATGTTCGTGAGACACTTTGGACAAATTGATTGTTTCAATGTATCGAACAACTTTGGTATCGAATTCATATTTCGTCGGCTTCAGACCATAGAATTTGCCCATGGTGAGCGTGCTCGTGAGGCAGAGGCTAGGTCGATAGGAGGAAAATTGATAATGGAGGAGTAGACCACTTTCGCGGCATCTGCCAATATATTCAATGCAAATATTGGTAGTCGATTGGACGAACCGAAATAGGGAATGGCGAATTCATCTAGCACAACCATATCCAATGAGACTCTGCGTTGCATATGCAAAGGATTTCTACGATTACGATGTGCAAAGTATTATTCGGAATTTTAATAATAAATTGGTGTGGCATGCGCCGGTAGACCAGAAGGCTTTCAAAGATGGGGGCCATGTTGCTTGTCAGGCTTGAAGCAAGAAAGGGCCACTTCCTGGATCAAAAAGATCCCAACGGAAGATCGAGTCAATTGCTGGCCAAAACAGGAATCCGAAGTTTGGAGTCATTGTGGGTCTTCGAACGATATTGACGTAAATTGATATAGATGATGCGTGGTCGACGTGGTCTTTCCATTTGAAGTGTCATTCCCCCCTGTGAATCCCACCCTTTTGCCACTTGGGGCCACATGTTGGATCAAAAAGATCCCAACGGAAGATCGAGTTAACTCCTGGCCAAAACAGGAATCCGAGCTTTGGAGTCATTAATATTTATTATCTAAAAGATTTTTTGTATAGATATTATGGGTCTTTGGAGATTTTAATATTGCTTCGTAAATTTCATTGATTTCATAAAAAATAATGATTATTATATTTCTATATCTAATTATTAATGATCGGAGAATCTAAATATTGTAAATATGAATAATTATGATTAGATTATATTAATATGAATGATTGAAATACATTTCATTAATATATTATATTTTTGTATATTTTAGATTAATATAGATTAAATTTGTTATTCTAGCCATGGCCCAATGCTTTTCTCCTTGGATATTCTATTTAGTATATTTGAAGAAATTTCATTGGACAAATATTCTTATATTCTGATTTCCATCGCTTCTATTATATTTGGTATCGGTTCTAAATTTCTAGTTTTTATATATTCTGATTTTCTATCTGGAATATATGTTGATATTCTATCTGGCGAGGTCCAGCGGAGTCTATTGTGATCTGGAATTGATCGGTCGGGAATTGATGATTGAGATTTATTGTTGAGGTCCGATAATATCGATTGCGAATTGAAATTATTGTTAATGACGATTATATTTCGATATATATATAGATATATATTTATTTAATTAAATATGTTTAATTCAATATTAACATTATTGTATCTATTTAAATATCATTGTATCTATTTAAATAAAATTCATGCAAATAATATAACATATGTTTATTTATAAATATATATATATATTATAGTATATTAAGAACGATATGTATTTTATTTGCGAATATTCTATTTGTTATTTTACAATTTTCAATTATAGCTAATAAATCTAAGTTCAAGAATAAACATAATTAATATATAATAATTTTTATTTTAAAAAATAGATAATGTAGATAATATTATTCAATTATATTGCAATAAGAATCGATTGAATCCTCCCATCTATATATATAATATATAATTCGATTATTTTGTTTTCATTTTTAAATATATATATAATTAACATTATATATAAAATATGTAATATGTCAACAATTATATATTGTTTATGAATATTTGAATAAATATATATATTTTTCTATTTTAAATGATTTCTGTAATGATATTTCAATCAATTGTTTTTATGAAATGATTCATGAATTTTCATACCTTCGGGAATTCGCGTCGCGATGCCGCTAAAGTTTGCAATTTACATCCAAAAATGTTTTCCTGTGACCACCTGCATTGCAAAATGCCATATTTGTAGGTAATTAAATTGTTATCAAGTTATCACAGTTATCAATGTGTGTTTGTATTTGTATTTGAATGTTGTGGTTGTGTGTTTGTGTTTTCTGTGTTTGTGGTTGTGTGTTGTGGTTGTGTGTTTCTGGTTATGTGTTTGTGAATGTGGTTGCGGTTGTGTATTTGTGGTTGTGTGTTTGTGATTGTATTTGGCATTTGTGATCGTGGTTGTGTGGTTGTGTTTGTGTTTGTATTTGTGGTTGTGTCTGTGGTTGTATATTGTGTGTTTATTGATTTATTTTTGATTGTATATTGTGTGTTTGTTGTTATATTGTGTGGTTGTATTTTAGGTATTGAGGTCCGGTATTACGATTGGGAATTATAGATTGAGGCGGTTGAGGTCTATTGTGATTTGGCCTTTATTATTGCAATTCGATAATATTTATAGCGATTTAATTTGGCATTGAATCGGTAATATTCGTTAGAATTTGTTAATTGCAATTGAAATCTAATGGAAATCTTGAAGGATGATAGGAAATATCTTAATTTATTTATGCAAGAAATCGTTATTAATAATTTTGGAATTAGTATATGTTTGTTATATATAGAATTCTATAATTTAATTGAATATATTTAATATCTATATAATAATCAATATATTTCGTTATCTGTTAGGTGAGGGTTCATACATTTAATAGATATATTATTCATTATTTTTGTCTTTATTGTTTTAGTTTTATCATATCTCAATTATAGATGCCAATTATAAATCGTAATGAATATTGATAGGCTTTAATTACAAATTCCGAAACATGGGGGATATATGTTTTTATATATTCGAAATAAAAATTATTTTAGAAAA